GAACGGGCCTGCCTGAGCAGGGGCTGAGCCCGAGGAGTGCGGGTTCCGGTGTGGCCTTGGAGCTGCCCCAGAGGAGCCTGCGTGAGGCTGAGCCGGTGGGGACGTCGTGCTGGGAGCAGAGCTCCAACTGGAGTTACGTTGTGTTTCGCCCTGTCCGAGTTCACTGAACTTGGGGCTTGCTGTTTGGAGGGGGTTCAAGCTGGAAGTTCACAAACTGAAGCAGAGGAAGCTCCAGCTGAACCCGAGGAAGAACTTCTTCCCTCTGAGGGTGACGGAGCCCTGGCCCAGGCTGCCCAGAGGGGCTGGGGAGTCTCCTTCTCTGGAGATATTCCAGACCTGCCTGGACGCGGTGCTGTGCAGCCTGCTCTGGGTGGCCCTGCTTGGGCAGGGGGTTGGGCTTGGTGACCCACAGAGGTCCCTGCCAGCCCCTGCCATTCTGAAAGTTGTGAAATCCGAGCGTCAGCATTTACATGTCGTCCCGAGGGAAAGACAGTGGTGAATTCCTAGCCTGTGGTGAATTTTCCCCGAGTGTTGATGCTGGCAGGGGATTTGATAACAATCATCAAAAGAGTGAATTGTGTTCATGGGACCAGGGCAGAATGGTGGAAGGAGTTCTGGGTCGTTCTCATCCTGAGTAGGAGTCCCAAAGGTTTGTCCTGCAGGAAACAGCTGAAAGTGAATTAGATAGATTGTGTTTATAATCCACACAAAGACAATACCTTGGTTAGCTCAATCAATTTCTAAACGGCTGTTTCAGCTTTTTCTTGTCTAGAGAAAGTTCACCAGGCGTTCTGGTTCTGTCTGAATTACCCACGTGGTCACAGAATTCCTGTGAAAAGGAGCTGAATGTAGATCTTTCTGCGCTGGGATTTTTCTGAAGTCAGGGCAGCGTTGTGCACGTCAGGGAGGGTCCTTTGAATGTTATTTAGGAGTTTCTGAAATGAGCGTGGGGATACTTAACTTATGGCTTTATTAGGCCTGAGTAAAAGCAATTTGTAAATAAAAACGAGCAATTTGATACTACATGTGAGGAAGGTGCAAGTTAGCACCACAAATGCAGACCTTTCACGGATGGATTGAAAACTACACTTGTGCCATATAGCCTGGGTTTGCAGGATGAATGTCCTAAACTACAAGTGAACTGGAATTTTTCTGCGTGTTTGCCTGATACATATTTCTGTAACCAGTAGGTGGCTTTCTGCCCGTTTGTATGCATTGCTACTATCCCAGACCCCAGCAAGCAAGCGCAGCAGTTTGAAATGGCCTCGAAGCAGAAAGTCTGAGGCATGATTGCAGCACTTTCGTCCCTGGGACTGTCTGAACAAAGAGAGTTCAGTTTACCAAAAGGATGGTGAATAGTGAAAAGATAGTAATGTTCATATTCTGGACTTGTAAATTGACCTCAATAACTGAATAATCTTATCTAATAAATTATGATGTGTGTGCATATACTGAACATCATTAGCTTCCACCGTGTAGCCCTGCTCATGTGCCCAAAATGCTCACTCCTGTGGCTCCTGGTTTAAAAATCCACCACCACCACTAGATAAAAAAAGCCTGTGCCTTACCAAAAGGCTCAGAACCCGTAAGGCAATGGGTACTTTGCAGTCACAATGATGTAGTAGAAGTTGATACGCTTCTGGATGAAGGCTAGGTCTGAATTAAAGAATCAGGAGGGTGTGAGTAGGTTGGTTGTTTCTCACTTAAAAGCCTGCAGCACTCTGAATGGTGCTGTCTGCCTGCAACTTCCCAACCTGGGGATTACCAGGGTCTTGCAGAGTATTCACTGGAGCTGTTCCCACAGCCATACTGTAACCAATAGCCCAATCTCACAAGTAGCGTAGGGAATGCTACGTCTCCTTTATGTGTCCAGGGAGTCTTGATTCTCTGGGTTGGCTTCATCATGTATGAGAAGGTTTGTCGTGGAACATGGGTATAGAACTGTACCCTAACCAACCCAAGAATCACCTTGAGATGCTCCATGGGACCTACCCCGACTTCACATGAAGGGACTCGGGACTCGGATGGGTACGAGCAACGTGAATAAATAATGGTTTTGCGTGAACTTCTGTTCTTCCTGCTCTTAGGAGTTCACACTCTTCTTCACTTGCTGTTTAGCTGATGGGTAAGGCTCAGCAGGGGCCGCAGTGCTGTGTGGATGGTGTCCCAGAGCATTACAGTACTGACGGCTTGGTATGTCTGCGTTCGTGAGTACTGCTTGAGTTCAGCCCATGTCAGCTGTGGTAAGTTTGGGCTCCTGACATGCCACAGATAAGGAACTGTTTCTTGCTGACGCCTCTTGGGCTTTTTATCTCTCTTTTTATTCCTGCCCCCCCCAACACCTTCTTTTCGATTGGTTTGAGGTTACTGGAACATTTTTATAGCAAGAAATGTTAATGTGTTTGTGCTTAATGTAGTCTAGTGCACAATGTCTTCTAACTACCGCAACTTCCGAAACAGCGTGCCGTGGCTAATCCTTTTTCTGGAAGCTGTTTTCATCGTCCTCTTTATGTTTGCAGATTATGGTGAACGCGTATCAAGCAGATCCTACCCGGGTAAGATCAGCAGCCTTGCTGTGGAAGGAGGGGTTAATGCCAGCTTTTATTTTGCAGTGCAACAGAGGTGGGATTCAGCAGTTTTGTGCGTTTGTTAGTGAGAAGCAGAATGTTTTTACTGCCTTTTAGTACCCTGCCTTGCCATGTACGGTGTGTATTTCCATCAAAGCACAGACAGTGAACTAAGACATAAATGATACTAAATTGCATTGCTGGTCTGTTTTCTGCTGCCTATTTGTGGTAATCTTGACTGCTATGAACACAACAAACTTCTGAGGGCAGGCACTGCTCTCTCAAGTGCCTAACTCTGCGAGGTCTTGGCATGAGAAGGTGGTGGTGTGCTAAAGAGTAAGAATTCAGGATGGCCGTGTTTTCCATTTGAATGTTTGGTGTAAATAAATGAAGTGAATACAGTGGAATTAAGGGTTTAAAATATTCTGGAGATGTATTTTGTGCATTGATCAAAGGAATGTATTAGCAGATTATGCTATGGCCACAGTATGTAACGTATTTACAGTGTTGTGCAAATATGAGGTGATTAATCCTCATGACATTCTTGTGTTACCCTCCCTGTTTTATAGCTGGAAAAATGAGACCTACTTACTAGCTGTTTGATATTTTGCTGTGTGTAGAGGTCAGCACAACCGTATGAGAGTATGGCTGTTAGCATGTCCCGGGAGACGCTGCCAGGCCTGCAGATCCAAGAGCTTATATCTTGGACAGCCTCTACCTTTTAAGAAGTGGTGCTGGTTTCCATATTAAACTCCTTCTACTGTTATTTCTGTTCCTGTTCCTTCTACCCAGATGAGGACATCATAGAGGTTTCTGTTTGTAACTCATTTCTTCCCTAATGCCCTCAAGGAATGAATCAGCACTAATTCACAGTAACTCTTCTGGAAAGTCTAGCTTAAGCTCTTTCAGTTCACCTCAGGAAAAATGCGTGTCCAAATTTCCTTGCTAAATGTACTTCCTTTATGTCCTGCTTTTTGACCCATCAGCCCCCATCCTATGGCATCCATTCTGATCACTCTGTAGAATTAAATTCAGAGTTAAGGGTGTTGTTTTTCTGGTTACTTATGGATTAGACAGAAAGCTCTGGAATTCTTTGCAAGTTTTAAGTAATAATGGCATCTGAATTTTTATCTGAAGGCTTCTTAGTTAATTGTGATTTTTTAATTTATTTTTTAACCAGAAATCCAGTCTGTGTTAATAAATTCACTGCTGTCTTGGTCTTTTCTGTCGTGCAGCTTTTAAAGATGTCAGCCATATGGTGATTTTTGGGTTTGGCTTTTTCCTGACATTTCTGAAAAGATACAGGCTTAGCAGCACTGGATTCAACCTCGTGATCGTCGTACTTGGTGTCCAATGCTCCGTGCTGGTAGAAGGTTTATTAGTTTTCCTTCTTCAACGGCCAAATGAAGAACGTCTGATAAGGTGATTAGTTCGTGTTCAAATTGGAATAATCTAGAACTGCTGATTGCTCTTTGTGAAGGATAATGCCCTGTTATATGGACCTGTTTGCAAATTAGCACAGTCGTATTTGCAGACATTTTAGAAGGCTTTGTGTTTTTAAGTACATTTTAATGTCTGTCATTCTTTCTTTATTGGCTTTGGTGTGGTCCTGGTACAGAATTACTTTTTTCTTTCTTTTATTGCAGAATAACAAGGGCTGCTATGACTGTGACTGCTGTAGTCATCTCCACTGGAGCTGTTCTTGGGAAGGCTAATCCTGTGCAATTAATTCTGATGACAGTTGTGGAGATAATAGTTTTCCATATGAGCAAATGGTCCAACAACACATTCCTGGGGGTACTGTAATATGATTTCCAGGCACATTGGGGAAAATTTCACCGGGACTTTGTGATGTTGCCTTTTGGTGGTTTGTTAGTGCTCTGCTGACAGGAACATCGGTGTGTTTTACCTCATCTCAGTTAGATAGTGGCTGTGTTTCCATTAAGAGATGAAGTCTGACTTTGGGAGTATACTTAAGGACATCGATCTCCAAACCCTGCGTACTCTGTATCTATATAGTTGGCTGTATCTATAGTCTTGGCCTTAGGGGTGAGCTGATCTGATGGATTGAGATGTAGTGCATTTGGCCTTGCCCATGCCCTGACCATCCCTAACAGATGCATGAAAGCCTTGACCTATGCTAAGGCACTAATGGCCTTTAAATTTTACCCCCTCCTTGTGTCAGTTCAGTCTGGAAGATTTCCGGTGTGAATGGAATAGCAGCAGAGTCAGACCTGAGTTTAATGTATGATGTAAACATATCGCAAACTCTCTGTGTATGAATTGTGTGTTTATGAGCTACATTGAACACAGATAAGTTAATCTTGCATTAATAAGTCATGCATAAACTGAGGGAATGTAAAAATAAATTTCTTATAGGAACATTATGTGAGCAATTATATCAGGAACTGCATCAAAGGCTTCCTGTGGCATGAAATAAACCACAAATGTGATTATTCTATCGATACAGGTTCCAGATGATATCAGCATGATGCACGTTCACCTGTTTGGAGCCTACTTTGGTCTGGCAGTCGCCTCACGCTTCTCTGAGCCATCGCCAAGGTCTGAGAAGAATGCGAGTAGCCCGAAGTCGGATTTATTCTCCATGTTGGGTAAGGCATTTGCTTTAACGTCTTAGTTGGAAGAAGAAATTGGAATGAGAACATAAGGCATGTTTTTGGGGCTGGCCACAGCACACTGAAGCTTTTACATCCAAAGTGGAGGCCTGAATGCAGCCAAGCATAGAAAACTGCTGCTGCTGTGGTTCGTGGCTTCTGACAATGGGTTGGTGAGTCTCGGCGTGTTTCCCACCGGGCAGATAACCCACTCCTGCAACGGCTGTGGCTTCGTTTGCTGTTGTCAGTCTCAGCATAAAAGCTATGCCAGGTTAACTGCTCCCTCAGAAGCGAAGTTGTCCACTTTGGGCTTGCATAGGCGTATTGGTAAGGTACCTGTACACCAAAGTTGAGGTCGTGACTTGTATTTCAGTAGGGCTTACAGTTCCCAGCTGGGGCGAAGGCTCAGTTTTGTTTTGCAAGGTGCCGTACAGAGATATAAAAAGGCAGTCCCTGCCTAGTGATGGAAATGAAAAGATAAAAGCCTGATGAAGGGTGGGGAATATAATACAGACGGGCACATGAGAAAGGATCTGAGTGATGGTAGGCTGAATGTATGGGAGTTCCATTCTTTTTCTTAAAGAAGCAATTTGGTTTCTTCATGATCATGACTTCCATTATGTAACTGCCACCAGCTGAACTAAGATCTTTCTGTGAAGGCCCACAGAGTCTTAATTCTCAGTCAGTCTTCACCCAGTTTAGGAAAAGAGAAGTTTAAATACTGCTCTTTTGAGTCCTTGGAGTTCTTGCTTTGCTGGAGAATTTCAGGATATCAATATTTAAATCTAACTCATCAAGACACTGTTAAGCCTTCATTATAATTTTGGTGCAGCTTGCTGCATTCCTGAGGTAACCTGGGTAGAAAGGAGCAACTGAGAAGGCAAATTCCTCATAATTCCTTTTTGCACCCTGCTTCTGAGGGCTGTGCGATGGGTGCTGAGGTCTTCACCCGTATTTGGACTCGTACTGTGACTTTTATTTCCCTAGCTGAGCAAATACTCAGAAGAATGCTTCAGTGGCATTAGTAGGTTTTTAAAGATTTTATTTTGTTTTCTGTGACTAACTGCCTAATCAGTGGGAGTAAGGTTGTCATAGTATGGATCATTCCACCAGTCCTCACTGCTGCTACAGGTTTTGAATTGCCCACCTGGCCTCTTCTGTCTGAGGCATGGTATCACTGCCTTGGTGCACTGAAAGGGTGAAAATTAGCAATGGAAATTGGATTTCAGGGAGTCAAGATAAGCTTGTACAGAAGCAGTAGCTGCCAGGGTTGCTAGAAGCTGGATTTAACCATTGTGCTTTATAGTGACAATGCCTATGTCACTTCTTAATTGACTTGAACAAGAATACTTCAGGTTTTACTGTCAGGGGAATTGCACAAGGGTCTGGTACCTCTGTGGCAGAACAGAGCATTAGCTGTGGAAGTTGACTGAACAGCCAAAAATAATGACAGGATGAGGCAAAATAAACTGTCGCTTGTTTGTGTTGTCATCTGTACACCTCGAGCTAGGGGTGACGGAGGCACAGATTGCCTTGTGTGGTCCCGCTTGACTTGGTGTGAGGCCACCTACTTCCCTCTGCTGGCAGGAGTCTGGTCTGTGCCCGTGTATCTGTGTGCACGGAGGGAAGGATGTGTCCTGCCAAGCACTGAGCTTGCTCTGCCGAGGCTGAGATTCCTCGGTGCTGACAGTTAGGGCCCAGGTCACGGAAGCAGAAGAACATGTTTTTATTCCTATTGTTAGCGAAGCCTATGTGGTCATGGAAGTGGGACGCTGTACAGCGATCTTACAGGACGAAAGCGAATTGTTCTTTTGGACCCATATACTGGGGAGTAGCTATTTGGTAGGTAACTCTTTCACAAATAGCAACAAAGTTAAGCTGTGCATGGCTGAGTTGGTGAAGCATGATACCCTCAGCTCAAGCTGTTGGTCTTTACCCCTCCTCTGTAGTAATACTAGTAGAGCTAGAGAGGATTCCGTTCTTACGACCCAGTTCATCCTCTTTTTCTCTTCAAACCCTGCCAGGAGGCAAGACAGCCATTACCAGTCGTACTCGCAGCCAGGGCGAAAGGCATTCCAAAGTGCGCTTTGGGTTTCTTTATAGTGATTTGCAGCATGTAAGCTGTCTTCCTCCTGGTCTGTCTTTCATTCTCTCTTGCAGCTGGTTCTGAACTGTTATTCCACAGTTCCATGAAAAGGAGCAGAAATTTTGGCCGAGGACATTGGCGCAAGACCCTAGATCTTCAAAAATTTTCTTCTGTTCAGCAGTGCTGAATATTCCTGGCTGTCATTGGTTTGAGTGCTATTGGAAACCTGTTTTCAAATGCCTGCACAAAACAGACAGGATGCTGCTCGTTTGGAAATCAACAGTGAAATTGTTCCCACTTGTATCTGAACCTGCGTTTAAGGGGATGAGAGATAGGACAAAGCTGATGTTAGAGGTGTTCTTGAAAAGAGACTCCTGCTTTCAGCTCTGCGAAGGACCAGCCAGATGCCAGTGGAGCTGTGCTTTGGCTGTGTGTTTGACATTACAGTGGTATGTTTCTGGGAAGGTGTTGGTACAGCAGGCAGCTCTCAGGGCTGTCTGCACTGTGAATTGTTACGCTTTGTTTACAGTGTGGGAATTACAGGGAATGCAAAATGTGGAATGGAGCCCTCCAGAGGCAGCCGGTGATGGATTCCCTGTGTTTTAGAGCAGGTAATGATAGTTGCTTGTCTTTGTCTCCAAGGTACTCTCTTTCTCTGGGTGTTCTGGCCAAGCTTCAATTCTGTACTGGCTGCGGACAACAAGAGCAAAGTGATCTACAACAGCTACTTTGCCCTTGCAGTGAGTGCTGTAACTGCCTTCGTGCTGTCTGTTCTGACCACAAAGGATGGAAAATTCAGAATGGTAAGACATGAGAGAAAATCACTGCCCGGAGAAGAAACGTTTCTGTCGCTCTCACTCATACACTGAAAGTGCAATAGCTACTAAGTAAAAACAAATCCAGGTTTTCAGTGTGACAGTCATCATTAGCCTCCCAAGCTAAAGCTGTAACTTAGAAATTATGTTCTCAGATTGTAATTTACAGCATATAGAGGCCCAAGTTCACCCTAAAGAGACCACACTTGTGTGAGAATAGCAATCTACGATATTGGGCTGCTATAAGAGAAGTGATGCCTGAATTCTCACTCCATGTTCTTGTTGTTTCATTTTACAGACTCATATCCACAGTGCAGTACTAGCTGGTGGGGTCGCGGTTGGTTACGCAGCGCACCTTATCAAGTATCCTTGGATTGCAATGATTTTGGGTCTGCTTGCCAGTGTGATAGCCATATTAGGATCTTACTGTTCACAGGTATTACTCTAAACCTGAAATTGTTTTTGTATAAACTGTATAAAATTCTTTTCCAACGCCTGTTACCTCAAGGGACACGTCTCTTTTAAAGAGATTAAAGCTAGGAAACCTGAAGTCTTTTGAGCAGTGTGCAAGACTGCAACTTGCAAGACCAAAGTTCACTTTCTAGGTCTGCGACAGACAATACGCTGTTATCAACTTGTGTTTCTGTGTATCAATGAAAACTTTTCTGCTTCCCAGAGCTGCTTGAGTCCTGCTCTCAAGATTCATGATTCCTCTGGAGTTCACTTCACTTTTGGCTTGCCGGCTGTGCTTGGAGCTCTTGCCCAGGTTGTTCTCTTCATAATAGAAGAGTGGACTAATGTACCAAGGTAGATAAATTCTTGCTATTAAGTAGTAAGTTTAGCTGATCGTTACTCTAGTATGCCTTGAGAAGGGTTCTCATATATACAGAAAGCGTGAATGTCATCACAGATAAGTCATTTTATACCAGGTAACCTAAGATAATCTCTGAAGTCCAGAACAGTCGGTAAAAAAGACTTTCAGAGTTGAGCAGACTTTGGATCAGAACTTTCATAATAGCTTTTGGTCCCGTTTTCTGTCTCACTTTTTATTTGATATCAAGTACAGCAGACGTAGGAGCTGAAGGCTGGGGATGTGCCTCCTTCCAAGACTCATTTTGGCTTTTGTGATGCATTTTGGGGAGCTTTCTATGCTAAGACAGGGGGGAAGAAATCAGCATTTCTCTTTGAATGAAGCTGTAACTCTGAGTCAGGAGCAAGAATGCCAGCTTGGGCTAAAGCCAGACTGGACACTGAGCTGGAAAATGTACTTGGGGAGACACCCACTGCAAAAGCTGAAGGGCTCAGTTAAGGATATTCTCCAGAGATTGTGTTGATCGGACACTGGCATCTCATTTTTGCAAATCAAGCTCATGTCGTGTCATACAAGAAGTTCTCTGATTTTCTCAATGTACACAGGAATGCATCACGGCGCAGTGTAACAGCCTTACACTTCCCGTCATATTCTTATTGAAACAAACAAATTTAGCGAAGTTTTAGTACCACAATGATGGTTTCTAAGGGCAAAATGTGTCCTCTGAAGTCTGTGTTAGGCTTCTGATAGGATCTCTTAACTGCAGTTGCAGAGAGATTCAAGAGTAAGAGGATTTTTATGAGATGTTTTGATGTAAAATGCTGTGTAGATACAGATTCATTCAGTGTTAATGCTGAATTCAGCAACTGTGAAAGGTGAAACACTTGTTTTGCTTTTCAGTCTGGGTTACTCAGTCCTGCTTCACATCGGTGCCTTCTGCCTGACTGTCAGTGTTGCCTTGATAACAGGTTTGATTACAGGTCAGTATGGAAAGACGTTGTTCAGTAACATCGTCCTCATTTCCTCGGGGCGAGGGGTCTGGCATCGTATTGCACCTGCTGTCATGTCAGTGCAACCCTTTGCAGAACCAGGCCGGTTTAACTGGGCTCTGAACTGTGTTTCTGTGGGCAAGCTGTTTGTAGAAGCAGTGGGAACCATGAATGCCAGGGACTCTTCGAAGCCAGTCTTTTGAAGAAGAGGTGTATTCAACAGAAATTACCTAGTAGCACCATTCTTTCATGGGTGAAGTTTATTTTAACGGATGTTTAACAGCTGCCTTCAAATTTCAGATGGGACATGCGTGAGGATAAAGATATTTTTACATTTGGATATTGTCTTAGTGACAGCAAAATGCTATCTAGGGCTTGTCACTTTTTAGGCCAGTTGGTATAAATCTGCAAAGTTTCGCTAGCATCGGTAGCTCGCGTGCGTCAGCCCAGCACCAGGCCTTTGATCGCGGGTGGTTTGGGATCGTCAGGGCTCATGTGTTCCCCATGTGACATTCCGTCTCTTTTGTACAGCAGATGCACTTTCTCTACAGCTGTTAATTCTGTCTTGAATAAAAGAGAAACAGCAGATGGAAATTGCTGTGAAATACACTGATTTTTTGTGCTTTAATTGATCCCAAACCTTTGCATTACCTGAAGGGTAATTAAGAAGTTGAGCTAATCAAGCAGATTTTAAAAAAACATTCAGCTAAAAAATCCAACATGAAGTGTTTAACCAGTCGTTTAAAAATCTCAGTGTTCCTGTCTGAAATCCCAAGCCAACAGTGCTGATAAGCCTGATTGCTTTAAATACACGGGCATTTTTCATGCAAGAAGTTAATGATTTCTGATGTATTTTTAGAATCTGGTAGGCTGTTTAATGGGGTTTTACCTGGAGTAATTAATTTTTAATGACACAAGCCTTGATCCTGGCAAGCTTCTCTCTTTGTATTTAAGGTCAGCTTGAGTCAAGGGGCTCCGCTGGAGCATTCAGTTCTGAATTTGTGTTTTGATCTCTGTTACGTTTGGATGTGTGTTGCTAAGAAACCTCCAGGCACACACGATTTCCCCCTTTGCCTGATATATATATTTATATTGGATATATGTGTTTTTACAACTAGGTTTAATCTTAAACCTCAAACTGTTTAAGACTGCCCCTATATCGAAGTACTTTGACGACCAGTTCTATTGGGAGGTGAGTTTCAATGTGAAATGAACCGCGTGGGTGTACCTAGAGCACCTTGTTGACCTTGATGAAGAACTCCAGGCATCTGAATTAAACAAAACGGGGTGGATGCCCTGTTTGAAATGGATGAGCGGTTCCCACCGTTGATTCAGAGCCTGAACACAATAAATGCGTGTAGTCGTCAGCTGGGAGGGTCAGAGCCGTGGTGGGCACGGGGCTGAGTCTGAAACGATCTCGTTTGTTGTAACGCGCAATCTGAGGTGCTCTGACATCCTCTGGGACTGACAGCCCTGGCCTCCGTGCTGCGTACGCAGTCCCCGAGGAGGCTCGAGCAGCATCTAAGAGAGGGATTTTTAGAAGCCAGTGCGTGGAATGGACGGTGCTTTTTGTGACAACAGACCAAGAATCTCGGCCTTCACGGGTGCAGAGTGGCTGGTCAGTCTGACGCACTAACGCAGGCCCTTGGCACCTTCGGGTGCTGAATGCGATGCTCTATCTAGTGACAGAAAAAAGAAAGGGATGAAAATAAGCTTCTAATAAGGTTTTCCACTGCCTTTTGTGTATGATGATTTGATGCATAAAACGTTCTGATACAAGAATATTTGTCTTCACAGTTTCCCCATCTGGCTGTTGGATTTTGAATGGAGGAACCCAGGTGACAGATGTGACCACGCTAAGCTTTTCCTCTTTGTCACCAGAGAAAATGAAGAGCTACGATGGCCTGAAAGAGCACCTAAGTATCAATTCTCAGGCTCAAAAAAGCCATTCCAATGGACACACAAAAATTAGTGATAACCTGTTCTAAGACACAGGGTGTTTACAGATGCAAATATAGAATGTATTTTTCTTTTCTGCTTTGATGGTCTTGCCTTAAATACTTTTTTGTAGGATTTGTACAAAAAAGTTGGCTGCATTCATTGCTATAATGGCTTATCAGCCAAAATGCTCGGAAACTTTAAACTCCCAAGCTTAAATTTTTAGCTCCCAAGTTTAAAAGCCAAAATACGTATTTTAAAGTATAATTTTTCAAGCAGTACGTACTCATTCTTATCTAGCAAAGCATTAAAGTACCTTTTAAGCTAAATTAATTCTGTTGAGGGCCTTGTTAAGCAAGGATTTGATGAGTGAGCTGGATCAGGGCCAGAACTCTGCATCTTGCCAGACTGAGCTCTCTGAGTTATCTGACTGCTTAAAGACAAATCTATAATTACTTGGCTCAGGCTGGCTGTTTGGAAGTTCAAATAGCAAGAAGTTAAATTGTTCTGCTTGCGGACGGTGCCCCTGAAATCAATGGTATTACTCGTAATTAATATTTGGCAGCAAACCTCAGGAGAGCCTGTCTGCACCAGCTCGGGGTCAGCTCCCTGACAGGCTCTGGCTGCCGTAAGGGCGTGGGCAACTGGGAGACTGGGGACCAGTCCCTGGTGCGGGGCGGTACCAAGGCTGGGACCCCGTTTCTGCAGTGCCTCACGCTGAGCTGTTCTGCTCTGAGACAGGCACAGGGCTTTGGTGCAGGAGCTGGGGACTGGCCAGGAAGAGGATTGTGTGCAAATGAAGCCTTGTTTTTAATTTAAAGAGATTGTGAGCCGCGGTGTTTCTTCTTTGTTTCAGAATAGTTGACATAGAAAAACTCTTTCAAAAATGCTTATGTAATAAAAAAGTCAAAGTTTGATTTTTATTTGTTTAGCATGCTTTCTTAAAAGTGAAGTAACGAGCAAAAATGTAATATTGAGGACAAGGCATGAGTTCTTTGATGCTCACTGCAGTAATGGATGCTGACCTCGATTCATTCATTAGGGATTAGGCAAAGCAGATCACTACGGGCAAAGTGGGGGACGGGTTTCAAGTAATGAAAAATTACTTGCAGAGGAAGCACCATTTTTTCTTATTTCCAGGTCACAAAATAGGCAGTGATCTGCCATGTTTATCAGCTGCCCACAGCTCCCGCCAGCTGATGGTGTGTTCTGGTTTGGGTTAAAATGGAACCGATTCTCTTTTAGTGAATCTTCCTTACAGCTAAGGAAACTCAGCTCAGCCTGGATGCACACTCAGGTCGTTGTGTCATCTCCCAGTTAGCGCACTACTACTGGTGTAGTAGCGTAATCCAGGCCCAGCGTGGGTTCTTCACTTGTTTTAACTTTCCAGCAACCAACCACATGTAACTTCTGCAACACAAACAGCTATTTTCTAGCAGGAGTGCTTTTAAGGAACAGTATTTTGTTCCCTCCCTCTTCCCCACGAGTCTTTTATCATTCGCTTCTTGAGCGACCAGCCGAGGTGAAGGTAGAGGAAGGGGCAGGTACAGGAAGAGCTATCTCACAGTTCAAGAGGGTCTGCTACAGGATCACAGTTCTCCCTGGCAGCGACTCCCTGGCCTGAAGAGTACTCTTCCTGCAGACAGAACTCTGACCTGAAGAGACGCGAGTAGGTAATGGAACAAATCAAATACCTGGTATTTTAAATACATGATTTCCTTTGTTTTACAGTGGTTAGGAAATAGTTTACAGCAAGCTTTGTGGATGTGCTACTTCCATTCAGAGCCACTACGCAATTTGTACTTGTGCCTCTGCAATGTCACAGCAACAGTAAGTTGTTACTCGCCGGAGAATTCCTCATTATTATCATAGCATAAATCAAATATTCAGGGAGGGGGGAAAAAAAACAGTCCCAAAGCAGCATAGTTGTAGATTATGGAAAAAAAGCTACACACCAGTATGTTTTGAAATTGAAGAAATGGTTATATTGTCCAGATACAGGAAATACTTAATAAATATATGTTAAAAAGACATTTTAAAGCATTTTTAGTAAGTCTTAGATTGTAAATAACATCATAGAAACAGCTGGTTAAACTTCCATGTCCCACTGTACTACTGACGTGTAACAAACTTCGTTTCATAAAAGTGACTTGCATTGTTACTTGTAGCAATTTTACATTTGTCAAAAACATTACAACATTTAAATCAACATACAAGAGTAAAAAAGTTAAACAGAATAGAACCAGAATTTTTAGTGCTATGATTTAACGTTTTCCTCATTTTCTCTTTAGACACATGAAGGTTACTGTTTACAAAATGGCTTTACAAAGTTTTGGGAGTGTGCAGGTAAAAAACCAGCATGGCCAATGCACTTCCACAGGCGTGTTCACTGCCACAAGTCTTCCGTGCGCCCAAATTTGAAGACCAGGCCTCTGTTTAAAACACAATAAAGGGACATGAGTGCCTAACAGAGCAAATCAAATACCTTGTACTTTAAATATGTAACTTCAGGGAGCAAGCTGTGGTATTTGTAAATCCAGTTCCCGGTCCTGCAGCCTGTGCAGGACAGACACCAGAGATCGACTGCCTTTACCAGCAGTTTATTCACTGATGTCTAGGTACAAAACAGGGCTTAAAAAGAACAGGTTACAGCAAGTTTCAGTTTTAGTCATTATACACAAATTAGATAAGAAATGAAGAAAGGAAGATAGTCTTACCCAAAAAAGATGAATGCATTCTGGAAAAACACAGCTATTCCTGGGTATACTACAGTTTTTTCTAACAAAAGAAAAAAAATCTCCATAAATTTTTTGGAAGTAATTTTCGAGAACATCCCATCTCTGACATTTCAGAAGCACTAAACTGCACTAGGTTAGCAAAGCTAACCAGTTTTATTTAAGTAAGAACATTTGGGGTCTGTGTACTGTGAAGCAGAGGTAAGGAGCCACACTAGACAGAGGGGTCCGTCACAGTGTAGGGTTCCCGACCAGATACGGGGCTGAAGTGACAACACACAGTCGCTGCTGTTGCTGCTCCTTAACGAGTCTACGCCAGACTGTTCTGGCACGCAATTCAGACAGCACTGTGCAGCTCACAGAACCCTTTCATTCTCTAACCAGTCCCCTCCAACCTCTGTTTCTCCGTTGTGTGACACAGAAGACAAGCATAAGCCTCAGCCCACTGGAAAGCTAATTAAGTGACTTTTGTGCCTCCCCCAAATCATTTAACTGCCCAAAGAAAAGCAGCTTCTCCTGTTCTCTAACCCAAAATGCGCATCTCGGATGCGGTGCTCATAAAGACTGGAATTATGACATGGGATCGCACATCCTGTGTGGTATATGTGTATGCGTTAAGTATATCTACATACATATTCAGATACAATGACAATATACAAAATGGGAGAGCACATTAGCACTACTACACAACTAATGCACCTATGTTTCCCTGAAAATCCCCTGTGAACTGAGTAAAGCCAAAGCTGATGAGACTGTAAATTAAACACCACCACCAATGTGTCCTGCCTACTCTGAAACTCCCTTCAGCTCCAGGTACAAGTAGTAGCTTTACATTTACTTAAGTGGCCTAACTTCCGTTGGAAAAATGAAGGGTAATACGCTGCAGTTTTCATGTCCTTCTCAAGACTTGCCCTTAGAAAAAGTTACCATGGTACATGTTAAGGTATGAATTTAAACAGGCAACTTCAACTAGTTTTTTCCCTTTTGCTAATTTAACATATAGGCTTTGGGAGAAATTTGCACAAAATCAGTAATTTTTATTCTGGGAATAAGTGTTCACCCAGGGAATTATTCCCATATAACTGCAGCAGTTTAGTTGTATCAGTACAGTTCCCAGGTGACCAGGACGTGTGTTTCTAATGAGGCTAGCTGAAAGTTTGACTTGGAAGTAGATAAAATCCATCACAATAATAGTAAATAGTATGGAACAGTGGTGCATAGGGAACCAAAAATATTAAAACTGGGCCTGCCTAGAAACTATCCAAAAATAAGTTCTAAAGCTCAATAGCCATTTAAAATACTTCAAACTTTCAAAATGGATGAGGTCACACTCCATGCTGTATCTTACCTTTAACAACGTAGCCTCCAAAAAGGATCCACATGGAAGCAATCAGAGATCCAAAAGCCATCATAAAGCCAATGAACAGCCAGATCCGAGCACCTTGAGAAAGACGTAGGGATGCTTTGTGTCCGAGTACGGACACTGGTGACTTTCAGCATGCTTTTGTTTCAGAGCACCTTCTGTCACACACCAGAGCTACGCACACACACACAGCGTGCACACTGGTACAGCTCTTACAACTCTTCCAAGAGTTAACGGCTTCACAGGGCTATCGCTATGCAACAGCCTGCACCACCGTACCTGTTTGTCCCAGACAGCCTTCACTGTAACTGTCACCCCGCACTTGTCCATTGGACACCGCATTGATCCTGCACCAGCAAAACAGGATAAAACTGGGTAAGCACAGGTAAAGCAAGAAGTAAGTGTTTACACAGCAAGAGGAGAAACTTCCCAGAAACCTACATGAAAAGGATGATGTTGTGGGTTTTGGTTTTTGTTTTTTTTTTTTTTTTTTTTTTAAAGAAGGATAAGGCTAAAACTTAAAAAGCATTTCTCCAATAATAAGACTTGGATAAGGCTAAAACTTAAAAAGCATTTCTCCAATATTAAGACTTGAATCTGTACAACACATTTTTAAAAAATAATTCCTTACTATAAATACCAACAAAGAAAGATATAGGAGGTACTCAGATAGTAACTTGGTTTGTTATTCTTAGTTTCCTCTCCATTTAAAGATGATGTGTTATTTTATTAATTGCACAAAGTAAGTTCTAGGAGTGTGTAGCTCCGATCCAGAATTACACTTACAT